CCCCCCCCCCCCCCAAAAATTAATTTTTTGACCGTTATTTCACTATTTCAGCTGTCATATTTGACTTCTTCTCTTATAGATGGGCCCCACTTTTCTCCTAACGGTCAAAAAATTAATTCTCAAAATCACTCCCAAACAGGCTTTTAAATTTTTAATGAATGACAAACGTACTAGGGTCCCGAATTTCCATGCAATAATCCTTTTGAACCTCAATTCTACATTTTGACAACACAATTGAATTTTGATAAATTAATGTTCATGTTTTATTCATATTCTCTTTCGAGTAATGTTAAATCTGCCGTCATATATAACTCGATTATATTTCTATGATGGGTGCGAAAATACAGGAGTATATAAATTTTTATAAACACTTAAAAATTCACATAAGGGAAAGCGGTATATCTCTATTCTCTATTGGACCATATAACGATTTATATCATGTCGAGCTTATTTCTCTTCTTTTGAATGCATAAAAGAAGCCACCACATTCACATAATTACATGCCCAATAATAGTAGAGAAAAGAAATTCATATAAATCTTTCAAATATGTAAAATTAAAGATTAAAAATTCATATCACATAGTTCATCATTCTTCTAGCACAAATAAATCTAGCCTAAAATGTTAGGAAGAGAAAAACAGAAGAAACATTGAATAAATGACATCACCTAATTAAATCTTAAATTGAATATTTAAGTCTTGGAATCTATTTCTGTGTTTCTTGCCTCCTTCTGTGCTCCAAAACCTATATGAAAGTGTTGTAATGCATGGTAAACTACTTATGGATAGCCTTAGGTCTTTATAAGACGTTTCAATATTTGCTTCAAATAAGAATTTGAGTCATATAAGGAACTCGGAATTTTTCCGCCCATAGCATAGTACAAATGCATGTTATAGCATATTTCAATGAAAATTGGCCCTGAAATTCTCTAAATGTCACAATGTGACCGCATAGTGTAGATAAGATCCAAAAACAGCGTTTTAGTTCCTGAACTCTGTTTTCTTGTTTCTTGATCTCTTTCTCGCTTCTTCTTCCTCCAACACTTTATTCCTTCGCTCAATTAATTTTCGACTGTTTCACATCTTCGTTTCTTCTTCTGGGTCATCTTTCAACTATTTACACTTTGGTCCACGAACTTTGATTTTCTCCCATTTTGGTCATTTTTCGTTTGCTTTTCCTAAATTACACCATATTCATTAATGTTATCCTGCAAAACATAATTTATAGAAAATTAAACCATATTCTAACATATTTGCCAACAATTATCTATGTTTTGTAGCCTAAATAAGTATGTAAAACACACTTATCATTCCCAATTCAACGGTCTGGCTACCTAAAAAACTTTATTAAACATGTTAGAAACAACTATTTAATTGTTCTTGAAATCTCTCCCAAATGAAACAAAAGATTTCATGTATATTTCTTAAATATGCTATGACAAACTTTTAATTCTTATTCTTTCTTGAAAGAACACTCATTAGTCACTTTGCTAGAAACATTTTTTCGACTACAAAAAAAGTCGAAGTATTGAAGAGAGCTTTAGATTCATGCATGGAACAAAATCTAAAAAGAGGGTACAGACCCAGCAAAGCAAAGTATAGAACATATACTACTTGTCCACAAAATATGAATGAAAAACAGAAACTAAAGTCGAAACATGGCACTCCAATAATGATGTTAAAGCGTCAAAAAAACCAACTAGGTTATTATCCTCCGAATTCGGACCAGTATTGAATGTTTGGACAACATGATAAGGTGCAAATTGTCTGTACTTGTAACTGTCCGTTATCTTGGATCCGTATGACAGCACAACCCCCCATTTTCTTGCTCGCAAATAAGTTGAAAACAAAAAAATTTGCTTAAGATTTATTACGTCCGCATTTTATGACTTTTTATGTTTCACATTTTCATTACATCACAACTCATGAAAGTTTTTGCATCTTTATCAGAATTAACATGTGCCCATAAATCATTAAATCAATTTTAAACAGAACATGGTTTAATTTCATCCTCTTTGGCTTTGGCTCCTCAGTTCCTCTCAGAATACACTGACGTGCCAATTGATAG